TTTTAAAATCGAATAGAGGATGAAGGCAGAAGGAAAGCTGAGGAAAAAACACCAGATAAGTTCTGTTGATGTGCGTCATGGATTTATCTGTAATCGTCTCTATTGTTGGATTTTTTCACTTTATTTAGGCCCAAAAAACAATAAAAAATTTTTATTTAAACTTGTCAGGTAAAGTCAAAGAGTTCAGACTCTTTGTTATACATATTCTGAGCTGCAGGGCATCTTCTAGAAATGAATTGTGACGTTGTTTCCCAAAAGAGGACATTGGTCAGTGAGCAGATCCGATCCCAGCTGCAACTGGTTTACTCGGGAAGTTTAACCTGACATTATAAAGTTTTGTAGTTTCGCTCTTAAGTGGCTGAAGATCACGATGTTAGCTGTACGTTTGCAGAATAAATTTGACACCCTAATGGTGTTGCATGATAAATGATCTAAGCACGCGACGTGTCCAACACCTTTGCAGAGTACTGTGATAACTGAATACCTCCATAGAAATGTGTGCGTCTGAGCACCGTGGTCAGCACTCGTGGTCCTTCCTCGGCTTCCCTTTCAAAATGTTTCAGGACACATCAAGCTGTGTGTGTCTGAGTGTGTGTTCGCCTGCCTGTCTCAACGCTGGAGGGAGGGAGTCAATCACAGCAGCAGAAATCATCCCTGCAGGCGATCTGTCTCCACTCATGACAAGGCTCCTAAGGCACTTATCTTTCGTTCTCTGACTCATACCATCTATCCCGCCCTCCCTCTGTCTCTTCCCCCCCCTTCAGCCTTCCTTCCTATTCTCTATCACTCTCTGTATCCCTCCCACGGTTTGTCTCGTGCCCTGGCACCGCAATTAACTTCTCATCATCAAAGAGTGTAATGAAAAAGAAGGCGAGATGGAGAGTCAGACAGAGTTAGGGAAGCTGCGAGAGAAGAAAGATAAGAGGGATGGAGCCAGAGGAGCTGTGACTGAACAGAGGTGAAGCACTCACACAATGCTAGCACACACTCAGTTTTTTTTCTTCTGTTTTTTCGCACACATTCAGAAAAAGAACGGGAGGAAGAGCAGGATGATCTCCCACCCTAGGAGATTATTCTCTCCTCGTTCCCTGCTTTTATTCCTCAACCCTCCGTTTCTTCCTCCTTCTTCGTTTACAGACACACACACTTGTTCTCGCTGCCTCCTCCTCCTCCCCCTCCTTTTCTTTGAAGAACAAGAAGTATTGCTGCACATGTAGGGAAGCTGCTCTGTCGGCATTCTCATTGTTTTTCTTCACCCCCTTGGTTCAGAGAGCTGTCAACTGTGACCGCTGTTGAAAGGATGTCAGCAAGAGACTGAGAGAGGGATTCGGGCGGAGAGGGTGGGGGGATGAAAGAGACGAGCGAAGGAGGGAGAGGGGATGTCGAGATGGAGGTCCCTACGGAGGGCAGAGGGAGTAATGGCATGCTTGTTTCTTTGTGCCCGAGCAAACGTTGCAACAGCAGCGGTAAGGGGAGGTGATGGAGAGAAAAATAGCTGAGGGCAAAAAAGCAGCTTGGGGTGGAGAGATGAGAGGGGCCAAAGCCGCTAATGAAGCATGGCACTAGCGCTCGATAACAGTGACATAATTGGCCTTAGTCGGTGGTCCTCAGGTGTGGAAACCCTCAGCAGTGAAATGTAGTTCACAGAAGTATGATTTGACTAATTTGACAGCATGTTAGAAAATGTGCATAATTCATAATGTAACATGGTGGATTAGGACCAAAACCAGAAGAGCTGAGT